TTTTTTTTTTTTTTTTTTTTTTTTTACACAAGGCTTTTATTTGATATGATGAGTCACTAAAACACAGGCTGGAACAAGCATGGGTATTCCAAGCAAAACAGTTAATTGTTCAAGGGCAGTCAAGTTATTTCTCTTATACTCAGTCATCAACCTATGACAACTTGCTTTCACCTTCCAGAAAAATAACGGATCCAGAATCAACTATTCCAATCCATTTTAAATGGATATGCTGAGAAACACATTTAATTTAAATATGCTGAGAAACATATTTAATTTAAATATGCTGAGAAACACACTTGCACGCATTACTCCGGTAATCAGCACTGAGCTGAGGACACCGTTACAATCCTACTACTAAGTTAAGCGCACCCGTGTTGTTCTCCAAGAAAGCAAAAAACGCCTCATCTTCCTCAAAAAGTAGCCACAGCATCCTTTTAAACTGCCTCTACGCTTACAGCAGAACTACAGTGCTGCTGGTATGGAAGGCAAGACGCGACTTTATTCCTAAACTTGCTTTCCAAAGAAAAATCCAGGAGCAAATACAGTTCTGGAAAGGTTTTTCACCTGAGATTCTAACGCTACAACAACATATTGTTCTTAATAAATAATTTTAGCCCTTACTTGGCATTTGAAGGGTCTCTCTGTTGAGTGAACATGTTTAACGTGACAGCTTAAATGATCGGGCCTGCAAAAAAAAGAGAGGAACAGAAGAGAAAATGCACACTGTTACAAATACATAGTAAGGACACCTCGGCTAGCGGTGCTGAACACTGCGCTGATGACCCCTTGCAGCCCACAATCCTTGGCACGGCAAGAATAAATACATTCCCCGTACCTACGCAGGGGCTTTCAGCTAGAGTAACACATAGTTACGCTGAGACCCAACCTGCGGTTTAAAACTTAACCGTGTTCTTTTTACACACCTGAAAATGGTACGTTTGGTCGTACCTTGTGTAAAGGTGACAGATGAACAGCTCTAAAGGTTGAAGATTTCTCTGTTGCAAGCACAGATAGAAATACAGCCAGCAGCAATGCAAGCTCCCCCACAATGCTCTGTCAGTACGCCTCAGCCTTGCTCCGAGACAAGGAGACAGTTTGCCTGCCGTGCCCCGTCCGGTCATTGACCGTTGCGAAGGCTGGTAAAGGGGCTCCGTGGTCGCCACCAGTGACACAGACACGTGTCCTACAGGACCTGGATGAGGTCACAAAATCATTTCAAAGCATTCTCATAAAAGAGCGACCACTTTTGGCCACTGCCAATCTAGCTCAGATCAAGACCCACACCCTTGAGGTAAACAAGGCTCTTTATCCCCTCACCAATCTTCTAAGATGTCTGGTTCTCCTAGCCCCTCGCTATGATAGCTTAACCCTTCTTGGTTATGAAAAGCCAATACTTGAGCTCGCCTGGGATTTTCTACATGGTACCTCGAGAAGCCTTTTCCACAAACACCACAGGTGTATGGTTTCGTGATGCCACCTTCGTGAGACCTCACGTGGTAGGTCATGCGATCCTTTCTCTTGAAGCGCTGATTGCAAATTGGACATTCAAAGGGTTTTTCATCTGAGTGGGACAGCTTGTGCCGGTTGAGGTGGTAGACGTCCCTGAAGGCCTTTCCGCACATCTCACAAGCATGGTTCTTCTTAACGGGCTTGCTGGGCTTCTTCACCGTCTGAGTCACTGCCATAGCCGTTGCGCCGGCACTACTGCTGGGGTTGGTGGCAGAGGAAGACGTAGTGACTGTGGAGAGGATGCCTGCGATAGTCGAAACCAATGAACTTCGGCTGTTGTCACCAGCGATGGTCGAGATAAGGGGCACCATTGTGGTGGGAGTTTTCTTTGGCCGTGACACTAACTTTATCCCTGTGTGGCAGGACTCGTGACGCCTCAAATGGTAGCTGTCCCTGAAAGCTTTGCTGCAGTAAGTGCACACAAAGGAGGTTTTAGGTTTTTCCTTTTTAATCCCAACAATAGCATCCTTTAATGTTTCTGGTGCAGGCTGAGGTTTCTGCGTTATTGGTAAGGGCAGAATCGGCTTCTGATCGGGTGGCTCAACAGCAGAGCTCAGGAGAGGCAACAAACTGTTCTGTGCTGCCTGCTGTTGGTGATGTGAGGCTTCGTGTGCCTAAAACCAAACATTCACACTTAAATTCTATTGATGGGTGCTCACTCTGACACGCTGCGAACATTTACAAACTACAGGAAAGCACATTCTAGACCAAAAGCCATTGAAGTAACAACTGGGAAAGGTTACATAATTCTGGTTTTGGACAGGATAAACTGCTCGCGCTTTAAAGGCATTGGCTGTGCAGATTCTGTGGTAAGCGTAGGAAGGCACACATCACAACAATCAAATAATTATTAAGTTTCCGGAGGGCAACATTTCTTATGGAAAACAACGAGGTGCTTGTCAGATCTTTTACTAACACAGCGTTTGATCTTTACATAACAGATAACTTGTTTTGCTAACGATCATATCAGATGCCACCTTGGGACTATCTTTGGAGCATATGAATGTACTGACGGGAGTTGCAAAATAACGCCCCACCTTTAAGCCGAGCTTAGCGCCTGTTGAGAATTAAACTGCAGCCACACAGAGCCAGGATGCGTCTTATTTAAACAACGTGTTCGTACCGGCGTGTTAGCACTGAAACCAAAGCAACTTGAATCGAGAGCTGTCTAAAGCCACATTTCTATATTTAGCAGGTTCCCGACGCTTTTATACACTGACCACTGTGCTCTTTGCGTCTGCAAACTAATAAGAATAGCGACATGTTCTTTTTCTCTTCGTCAGCAGCTACTTTGTGATAGGAAGAGAAGCTAATCGATAAGCACTGATAGATGCCTAGAGATGCTGGCGAACGCAG